AATTAGCACATATACTAGGCTATGAGGAGCACCTTAGTAGGCCTATCAAAGAAATAAATACAATATGAGAGCTGTTAATAAAGAAAGACAAATGACAAGTCTTCAACATCAACAGTCAAGTATAACATGCAGCAGCATTTATCAGAAGGATAATTACAGTTTAAGACTTCAAGTTCACCATAGAATATTGTGCTAGTGCATTAAAGTGTTGGTTTGTGAATTTGGTGACATAGTGAGTTCAATCCCTGGGCAGGCAGTGTTTACTGGACTTTGCGGAAACAGGCAAGCAATAACTGAGCAGTACTAAAAATAAAAACTAGACAAGATATCCCTGTACATGAACAACGGAATGAAAACAGTCTATTCCCATAAATAAGTAACGGTTCAGTTCATAATTCCCTGTAGGTTACCTGGATCTATATACGTCTGATGAAGGTTGGAGATCACAACAGCTGAAATACTGTGATAAAGATAAGGAAAACAGTCTGAATGTAGTGTAAATAAAACTGAACATTTTTTACTATTAATCAAGAAATCAAACACTTTGAAAGTACATTTGCAGTTCACTAGCACATAATCTAACCACAAATCACCTAATTAAACAAGAAATTAGACATTTTTGGTGTGTTCGTATAAATTTTCTGGACAGAGTGTATAACAGCTGCTGCTACGTTTTTTTGCTGTATATAAATACAGGAAGTACTGGTTAAATAAAAAAAAAAAAAAAAAAAAATATATCAAATCAATGATATGTTACAAGTGAACTGTAAACAGCAAAGTTAGCAAGTTATTGCTTGACTAACTGCCTTACATTTGGATCCAGTGTAGGTTCTGGCTGTAAGCAAGTAAATACTTGATTTGTAATCATTTATCAAGCAAATAGCATGGGAGTGTTTAAAAAAAAAATTATTGGAATTTTATTCATAAAGTGTGACAAAAGCCTACATTTTTATTCAGTGCAATCATGGAGGTAACACAAATGATATATAAAAAGATCAATCCATGTCAACAAAGAATAAAGGACTATAAAAAACATTGTAAACTAGCAACTGCATAGGTAACTTATTTGTTGCTGTATCAAAATATTAAATAAATATGAACCTCTTTAATCAAGCTATTATTGGTGGCATGCTTCACAACCTGACAACATTCTCTTCAAGACTTCTAATGAACTTGCTACATTATATATTTGCCTGCAAATTCTATCTGTAGCTAAATAGCCCTATAATCTCATGCATGGTTGTCATTCCTAAAGATCTAAAAAAAAAAAAAAAAAAAAAAAGGAGTAAATGCTCTTACATCATTATACCATAGACTGTGAGTCGTTTTTTTTAATATGTGTATATATATATATATATATATATATATATATATATATATATATATATATACACACACACACTACATTTAACCAATGGTATATTAACCCATGGACATTTTATCATTAAATTATTCTAAATAACAGTGTAAAAGTAATACTGAAATAGATCTTGTAAAATCATCAAACAGCATGCTTCAAGGAATCAAAACTGTATAAAAGCAAACAAACTGTAAATGTAATAATCATTGAACTTGTAAATAAATTACATATTGATTGGTACTTTTGCCTAGGATTACAAAATTCATTCATAAGCTCTGCCTAGGATCAGAGTATAGTATCCATACACCTTGAAAGTTTTTGTCACACACATTTTACTTATGTAGATAATAAATATTACAAGAATATGTATTTTTTTTTGTTTAAGATGAAGTCACATTTCAAATTAAATCTAACAAAATTATACTTAAAAAAAAAAAAATAAATATGCTCATTTGATCAAACTAACATATGAGAATACAATATACTATTTGAAGGTCTACTAAATTTTAAGCTTTAAAAATAAAAAATATGAGATTGATCAAAGCAAATAGAATCTGACAATTTTTCCCTATGAAGAAAGTAAACTGCAACTGCTAGAATTTACATGCAAATTCAGAAATGTATTTAAAAAAGAAAGTTTTAAGAAAAAGGTACAAATTAAACCTAACCTAATTACAATAAATTAGGAAATAATTTGTCCTGAATACAAAAGAATTCAATTTCACAATGACTTCTGTATAGGTAAACAGTTTTTCAGTATTTTCATATTAATTATATGGTAATACATTAGTGCTGAAGCCTACAGGCAAGTATTTTAAAATAGAACACTGAACAAATCTATTCAGGAAAAAGTTAACATGAGAGCAAAACTAAATTATTATACAGCAGCTTTACTAAAATAGCTTGAGTCAGATGTCATTTCCAGGTTTCTTTAAAAAGAAAAAAAAAAAAAAAAAAACTTTTATTAGTAACTATATATAGATATATATAAAACCAAAAAATAAAATATGGGCTAGTCATAGGATTCTACCTCAGAGTCCTGAGGATATATAGCCTGAAATACCTAAATGAAGAAGAGAGATATATTGAGAAAACTTAAAATTAACCACCACCCCCCACATCATTTTATCCTGAATGCAAAAGAATGAGCTTACAAAATGGCCAAAGACAAAGAAAAGAAAAAAAAGAAAAGACACCACCAATAACACTTTTAACAGAAATTAGACAAAACTCATAATCCTTCCCTCCAATACTCTACTAAAATCACAAACAAGTTAGTTATCCCTAATACTAAGATCATTACTACTACCTGCAAGATAACCAGAGATATAATTAAGAAGAAAAATAAACCTAACACCAATTCTGATGCTGGGATTTATCAAATAAATTGTTTACAATGCAAAAATGTTTATGTGGGCAAGACATCACATGATCTAAAAGCCCGCATCTATGAACACAAGAGAGACTGGTGTCTGAACAATCAATCTAACTCATTTTGCATCAAAACAATGCTGGACATAACTTTGATTTCACTAATGCCACCCTAATTAAAGAAAAACAATTTTATAAGGAGACATTGAAAACTTAACATTATTACCAACTGTAAACACATGCCTAAAACATTACATTAAATCTTTCTTTGAATCCATTCTTAAAGAACAACTTACATTTATCTAATAAAAAGAGTACATTCTTAAAGAGAAGTCATAAATTAGAATCCTGTGGCTCCCTGCTATGTGTGCTGATCACACAAAGGAGAAGATAAAATCCCAACTTGACAGACACACACACAATTATAAATACACATTACCATACAATGCCCACTTAGACATACAAGAATCTTCACAAACCTATATACACAAAAATTATTCCAGGGATTTGATACACATGACATGTCTGACCAATGAGAACTGACCAAAATGTAATTGAAAATACCAGTGTTTTTCTGTCTTTTTGTCACTTTTCTCTCAATTCCAGACAAAGTTTTAATAAAAGTAAAACATGTTATATATTTCCTATTTGTTCTTTCATTTTATCATCCTGCCAGATTCCAATCCATATTTGATTTACATAATATTTACATTGATTGCACAACTCAGAGTTTCATCTGTTATGCATTCATCAGGAACAATTTTTTGAATTAACTCCTCTTTAATATTTCTGTTTATCATTAGATATTTTATTGTATCATTATTGTTTTTAAAATATTTAAATGAATTGTAGTTTGATTTTGTATTTGAATTTAGGCTCAGATTATCATTTAAGATTGAAAATAAGAATTATAAATTCTAATTTGAAGAGACGCTGTCATCAAAAGGAATGAATAAGAAAAAACATTTGGAAATCAGGGTTCAAATCTCACCACAGTTGATTTGTCAGGAAGGAGATTTCCTGATGTTATCAGCCTGAAGGGAGACAATCCCAGTATGTGGCACCTTTGGAAAGTGCCTCAAAACCATACCAAGGATGGACCCAAGCCTAGTGAGTAAAATTGGGTAAATGGAACCCTTGGTGGGGGGCTGTCAATAGC